GATGGGACATGCACAATTTATGTGTCTATGGAATCTTTGGATGTAACATACATGGTTCTGACCATGTGGCCCTGGTCAGCGTGACTTTTGATGTCAAAATTTCAGTGGGAAAGTTATGCAGGCTTATTGCGTCTTTGTACGTGTAGGTTTGGCAACACGTGGTTGGTGTGATCTCAAAACACCCAAAATTCTGGACTGAATTTTTTGAACTTGACCCAAGACAAGCATTGACACACCAGCGATGATGTCTTCTCAAATGTACATCAGAGATATGTAAATTTTGTATTTTAATGAGATTCCTCTGAGGGCAGGGCCATTTTTTCAAAACTCTTTTGAAATTTTTTTTCTCCCATTTATTAATCAAAACAACAATTTTTACATTCTGGATATCATTTAAAACATACAATTTCAATTATAACTAATGAGATACTTTTCGTAGGCTACATTAAGTGCTACATGTTTATATAGAAAAATAGAAAAATTGAGAAATGCATTAGAAATTTTTAAAAAGCTATTTTGTAAATTAAATAACATTAGATTTAAAAACACATTCAATTAAAAAGACATGTATGCTTTCCATTTCTCAAAAATATGTTCCGGTATTTTTTACACTTATTGTGCTTTGTACAAGACCTAACCCACAACGTTGACATAATGTATCCTTTGTAATCAGCCACATTGTTTTGCCATTCTTTGTCAAGGAAGATCTCTCTTCAAGATGAAAGCCAGAGTTTGTAATAATTTATTTACTGACAGCCCATACCCTGCATTCATAATTTGGTTACATGCAAGGGGATCCCTTAGTGATGATGTCTTAACTTTGAGAATTGAATGTTATTGTGTTTGATATTTGTTTGTGTAGGTTCCCTCCCACCAAGCCCAGCAGACAGTGGGGTAGCATCAGATAAAGAGGCTGATCCCACTCAAACAGGTACATGTTCCGGTACTTACCTTAGTAATTATCCCATGTTTGCAAGAACACTTCAGAAACAAAGAAGTATAGCAAGATTGTAGGTCTTGCCAACTTGCTTTGTTATTTGTATAACCAAGTTCTTATAAATGGGTTGGAAGAACAAAAACAAACATTCAAAAGAGAAACAGTTTTCTCCTATACAAGTATACGTAAAATTTAATAATATAATACAGATTTGGCTAACACTGGGGTTGTGAATGATAACAGAAAGAGGCAATATACATTAGGTATCTTATTCTACATGTTGCCACACATGGCACATAGAACAAATGTTTTGTTGGTAGTTAATGAGGAGTTCCTTTTTAAATGATCATTCCAGACGCTCAAGAAAATGACTCCGTTCTTGCCACTTCATGCCATCAACCAGGTAAATCAAAAACCAAACTTAAAGGTATTGAATGAAACAACCTTGCATGCCTTCAGTTCAGAGAGAATGTCTCCATGCATAAATTCATATGCAGAGCCTCAGAAACTCATCAGGTGAAGTTAAATTGTAACTGTCACACAGTCACTTACATGTAGCCATGTATTCCCTGTTCAAATGGAAAATACATGTGCACAAATGCATGAAAACATTGATTGGTTAGATTTAGAGGTAATTACAGGAACTGAGTGGAGGGATCATTTGACACGAACAAAACTGATTGTATAAAACTTATTCTCTCTTTAGATGCTTTGAGGCTTTTTAAATATGATAGATTTAGTGAGATCTTTCAATGTATAAAATGTGGTTGTGGCATTGAATGAGCATTTTTGGTTTGTTTTAGATACTCACCAAGACCCTTCTGTGATAGTTAGCATGATACCTGACTATGAGGTGGAGCTAGAAAGTGATTCAGTGAATGAAGTACAGGTGCCATACTCCCCAGAGATAACACACAATTACAGCAAGAAACCAAGTAAAAAGAGTAAGTTGTAGATTTAGCATTGCACTTGGAATAGAGCAAACTGTCTCAAGATGACTACAGAGAGGCAGATTCAGGGAGATCAAGGATACCGTGTGGCAAAAATGTCTGGTAATAAAAGATGATCAAAGCTTCGGACTAATTAAACACCTTAAATCTATTGCAGTCTACTTGTGTATGGTAGGGGTTCGATGCACATGTAGTCAAGGCTATGTTACCGATGAGGTCATTTGTGAAGTGATAGCGTCTCAACATTGAATAATTCTCGTTTTCTTCATACTAGGTCGGAAATCCAAGCCAAGGTCACCTGATGACTTACATGTACAGTCATCATGCAGCAAAAGAAAAACCCGAGAAAGTAAGACATGATTCAACAACATTTTATGTTATTTGTATTCTCATTTTGCATTGTACAACCTAGGGGACATTAGCCTTAGTTTCATACCATTCTCATGATGTGGATAATGTAACGGTTGTTGTTTCATATCTGTTGATGGAATTTTCATATCTGTTTATATGATACTGTGCCTCATTTGGATTGTTGCCAACATGTTGAGAGTTTGTCATTCAGAATTAACATCACATTGTTAATTATCAAGATAGATTGTCAAGGTGTATTGTTTTCTATAAAACAACTTTTTTCTTTGCCCTACTTTGCCTGATTTAGGACTCAATAATTTTGGTAACTAGCCATTTTGGATTCCATATTTAAATTGCAGACTTCACTGTACAAATTGACTTGTTGACAGTTTGTATGATGGATTTTTCATGCGATTTGACACTATATCATTTGCTTTTGTGTACATGAATCTTTTACAACAGTGTCAAGAACTGCTCTGGAAGTCTAAATATTTTGTGTTCAGGGAGTCATTGGTGATCTGCAGATCATAATATGTGGTTGTTTGACGTTTCAAGTCATATTTAATTTTCATTTTCAGGTCATACCACCTACCTCTGGGAGTTCCTCCTGGAACTTCTTCAAAACGTGGAAACATGTCCACGTTTTATCAAATGGACCAACAGGGAAGAAGGCATCTTCAAGTTAGTGGACTCCAAAGCAGTGTCAAAGTTATGGGGTCAGCACAAAAACAAGCCAGACATGAACTATGAAACAATGGGCAGGGCATTAAGGTGAGAGGTCAGATGAAGGGCTCTAGAAGCAATTAGAACTCTTCACTGGGTAGTCTCATTAATTACTTGCATGAAATAGGAATGACAGCTGAGATCACAATAGGTCGAACCAATAGGCTTGTCATTGTCTCTATAGTTGCCCAACCTATGCAGATTCCTGATCTATTGTGCCAATATCATGCATCAGTTCTACATGTCTTCCTTTTTTAATATGCCTTATGTGGATACAGGGGACTAGATTTGTTGTCTGAAAGTATTTTTGTTGTTGATTTCAGGAACTTGATCAGGCATAAGGGTCATTCAAAATTTGGGGTCTAAAAGTGTGACATTTTTGTGTCCCTGACCTGTGTGATTTGACAGGGAAATATCCTTGGAATTGATTTCAAACTACTTGTATCTCTATTTGTTTGGCAGGTAATTTGCATTAATTCTTTACTCTTGGAAATTAAAGCATGTGTTGTGAACTTACAAATCGTATGTCAGATGTGACAGGGACACGGAAAAATTGGCCCCCAAATTTGTAGAATGACCTATAAGGTATATTTATAATTATTGGATGGGAGAAATCCCAGAACATTTTCATGATCGGGGTCTGTTCATTTTTGAACAGGTGGTTCCTAGAAGCCAAAGAATAGAAATTTCAACTCCAGACTGCAGTCTAGCTAAGAGTTCCTTGAGAGAAAACACAAGGAAGTCTATGTTCTAGGTTTGGAAGAGTTCAATGCTACAAAATCAAGTATAGGCTGACAAATCCAATATATTTGATATTGTGAACGTTACCAGACATGGAATACTGCCCCAACATCCTTTCACCTGTACTGGCATGCAAAGCTATTTCTTGTCTTGACAGATACTACTATCAACGAGGTATTCTAGCAAAGGTGGATGGACAGAGGCTTGTCTACAAATTCTGTGAAATTCCCAAGAACATCACCGAGGTGGAATGTAGCTGAATAATAGGAATGTACAGTATTGCAAGGAAATCACTCCATATCATGGGTACCACTGTGTATTGTGTTGATAGATGGATGATAGTACATGTACATTTAGGTTCTTACCCGTTATTAGCCTTGGCTGTAGGATGTGGCCATTCAGGCTGACTCAGGTGTAACCATTGGGTGTGCCACCTTGGTGTAGCTGTCTGCATATTATAGTGGTGCCAAGTCCATGCTGCAAACTGGTGTATTGAGTGACGTCAGGTTTACAATCCCAATATTCCAAAAAGACAGTGATCACATATTAAAGATCTCTGACAATACAAAGACCTATGCAATAACGACGTGCTTATTTAGTCTTATGTTTGATCACTCATCTAACTGTTATTCTTTTAGCCAGTTATTGACACTGTTGAGGAAAGTTTCATATGGAAGTTTTCAAGAAGTTTTCTCAGTGTACTGCTTTTGCCGTTGAAAAGCTGCAGTGAGAAAACAAACGTCATTCGTAGCTTTCAGGGTGTCTATTTGGACATTTTGCACTTCTGCCACTTGACACCTCCCCCAAAGGAATATCCAAATGTACTAAAGGCCTTTCAAAGTGTACAGGAAAACCTAGTATTTCTTGGATTTCGCACTGCAGTGCAGAAAATTTATTTAACTTCTGGAAATAAGAATTGCTTGCCTGGGATATTAATATTTTGCTGCCAAAATAATTCCATTTGTAAAAAGAAATGAACTGACACTGAGAGAGATGTTGTGTGTGGGGAGCGAGTTGAAACATAAAAAGAAATTTTATTTTTATGTTATGTAACTATACTTGTACAATTTTAAAGTGAAGTATGGTTCAATTGCCTAAAGTGAGATTTGGTTGACTTTGTAAATATGTATGAAAGTTCTCTCAAATGTGAGTAGATTAGATACTCACATAGATTAGATGGAGGTCAAACCACAAGCCCTATGTGTTCATAAACATTAATGGGTTTCGTAAACTTTATTCAGTGTACGTAATTGTAAATTGTCGAAGGTATCGGATTCATTGAGAAATAATTTTTCCTTCCTCTGGACACTTTGCCTCCAAGTATCACATTTCAATTTGGTCTCATAAAGACAAAATGGACATTGAAATACTGAACAGTTATCCTGATGAAAGGATAGTTAAAGGTTTCGACTTATTCTAGATTTCTAGTCAGGTTTTTTGGTCTTCATTACTGAGGTGACGTACTGCAGCCACTCGTATCTGTGGGAAAAGTCAAGAACTATAGAGACGGCATTCAATTTTTGTGGTTAGTTTTTAATAATTATTGACTGAACCCAACAGAATTGTCTAATTCTGTTAGAATTAATATCTACATGAAATGCTAGTTGACAAATTGGTGAACACGATTCCAGGCAGATTGTACATATTGCTGAAGATGAATATTTAGTGGTGAAAAGCTTTGAAAAAAGGTTTTGGTTGGAGTGGTGAGTTTATAAAAACCTACCAGCTGATTATTCTTGACAAAGAATGGGTAGCAGATAGTTAAATTCTGAAACATTCTCAAACAATAATGCCCCCCTGGATAATTATTGTCATTCAATGAATTGAAGTTACACATGCTGTGTATGATGAACATGTTATATGCAGCAGCTTAAAGTAGCTCAAAAATCCCCTTGAAAACCAACATACATGTAGTCTTTCAAACTGTTTGAAGCTGAAGTGATCAGATCCTCAGCCTAGATTTATTGAACTTGTTGCATAAGGTCTTGAAATGAACTGAGAAAATACACTGAGTAATGTGATCGCCACATCCAAAAAGGAGTTTCTTCCAGCTTAGCAATACAGGTAACAGTAGTAACTTTGTTAATGAATAACACTTGAATATAAGAATGCACATTACTCCAAACCTGTCATCTTTGAGTTGCAGTTTGGGAAGAGGCATGCACACAGTTTGAATTCATAGGCCACCACACTTGGAGGGTTTTAAGCCCGAATTCCCAACTAATGAATATACTTGCAACATGCTTTGGTTTATTTCAAGTTTACATACAACTGCAGTATTCTTACTGAAGGAAACACTTTGACGACATGCTTGGTTTTGACTGCCAGATAGGAACTATCAATTATGCCGGGGTATACGTAAAAGTAGATAGCATAGAGGCATTCATGGAAACAACATAAAATCTAGAACTACAGGGCAACATCACTGTTAATGAATGTGTAAATATGGACATAAGCTACAAGAATTGTTACGTCCAAAATAGTTGACATGTTTGTGTTTGAATTTGTTCAGCTCTTTTGTTTCAGATTCCAAATCAAAACATGAGTGCAAGTGAACCATTGTTGGTGTTTTTAATACAGATTGCTGTACGAATGACGTACATATCATACATGTACCAGTGTGGGTGTTAAGAGACTATCGGTAGTGGCCCCTAGATAGCAGGTGTTGAATGGTTGTGTAATTGCATAGGAAATAACCAGAGTCTGTTGTATTCAATCACTGTTCGTATCTACAGTTTGACAATCGGGCTACAAGTGGAAAGTTTCCATGGACTAAATTCAGTCTTCTTCAAGAGAATCATCAATGTGTACATGGTCAAATCTATCTCGTACACTTTACTGTTGATAGGCTGTTGACTTGCCAGGCCACAGTTCTACTGTAAAACTCCTTTGATAAAATCATGATGTATGTCTCTTCTACTTCAACTGTTCAAAAAGCCATAATGCAATTTTTGAGAGGTAACTACATATCTGTTGGTTTCTTTCCCGTATTTCCATACATTTTAGCAAACTCCATTGTTATTGAGATTTTTATAATGTGTAAATATCATGGTTGTTTCATACTTTTTAATGAAAGTCGATGATTCCATAAAATTTGTTTTGACTGAAAAATCTGAATAAGAAGGCTAGCTTTGTCATGTGCAGATGACACCTGCCTGGCGTTTGGCTCTGACCAATTGAAGGCACTGTCTGATGACATTGCGTATTTATAGAAGTGTACATGTATCATGTGGAGCTATTAAACACAAGGAATAAGCACATACAGAGACCGAAAGGGTCAATGGTGGCCACTGCAAGGACACATCAAGTTACGCGCTGCTTGCGGGCTAAAAGGAATGCTGGGAGTTGCTACCACTAGGAATACGAATTGTGATAGAAATATCGCAGTTTATATTTTGGGTATATGTTCTCTACCGCCAGAACCACAAAACGTCATAACTGACTTTAAAACGTCTGATTTTTACCAAATAAACACCACAGATTGGGAATTTTCGAGCGCATCTGCAAGGATCACTCACTGACTCCTGAGGACTGCTGAAGAGAACTGCACATCTTCTTTGTGCATCTTTTCCATAATTTATTTACTCCAGTATGCCGCAATGAAACACAGCAAGTCTGTGGTTTACAAGCTACCTGGCGGTGGCGATCACTGTGTACAAAGTATGTCTAGGGTCTTCAAGACTGGGGCCGGTAACTGCGCTCTGTCTGTGGAGCTGACAAAAGCGGTTAACTGGAGTACGGTCTGTGGGGACTTCGTGCCGACCCCATGTGTTTAATAGCTCTGCCATCATACAAAACACTGGTTGCAGTTTTGTTTTTTTTTTTACCAGAAGCAAGGTTTCTAAATACATGCATACATTCAGTTCATTGAAACTGTGTTGCCTTTGCTGCAGTGTAAGTACAGTGCTTTCAGTTGGTAAAGAATTGCCAATGAGATAAACTAATGGGGTTACATCTGAGGTGCAACATTTGACCATGCCGCAGAGTCAACAGAGAGGTGTGTCATATCAGTTGTAAATGCATTAAAAGAGGGTGAAAATGAACCCGCTACAGGTCAAAAAAATACTGCAGTTTCTAATGAGCAACGAACAAGATTCCAGAAAACATGCTCCTTAGAATATGGAAACACAGAATCTTTGGGACGATAGTTACATCCGTGTGTAAACTAAATCTCCCATGTTTTCCAAATATGTGCCCCACCTAATAATGCCAAAGTCACTGGTGAGTAAAAGGCCTTTACAAGAATCTTGCACAATGGAAATATTGAGTGACGCATCAAAACGAGGAGTTCAGTTTGGTCTAATGCAAACTACATACATGTATTACTGAAAAAAAAAAGATCTTAAGACTCGTTTTGTTGGAGCTGGTCACATACAATTTGGAACTTGATAACTTTACTAGGTTACTTTCTGAAACAATTTTGAATAGTTTATTTTTGGGTTCAGACGAAATTCTAAATTGAGTAATAAAAAAGATGAAACTACATGTCCATGTATAGCAGGACAGATTTTTTGCATGAGGGTGAAACATCAGCATGGTATACGTTAGCCTCTGAAATCTGGGAACAATGAATGGCTTAAGATCTAAATTCATCTCGGCCAAGATGTACAGGTTCCAAACCATTTCTCCAAAAGAAAAAAAACAATCCTATCCATTCTTGGTTATCTTACTGCCACCATTACTGTTTTGCTCTTAATATAACTATATCTATAGAGGGCGCTGTTCCACCTGGCTGTGAAGGCAACATGTTACTGTTGTCCATTCACTGGTAGGTCTTCCACAACTCGGCTATGGCTCTGTTATTTTGTGCAGTGCCCACGGTAATTTATGAAATGTTTACTGCAACTTTGGTCTTGGATAATTTGAAATTTCTTTTGGTGGAAAGTGGAGCTGCCTGGACCCAAAGGGTCTGAACTTAGCAGACTGACTTCATGAAACTGATGCTTGCGAACGGAGAAAAAGCAGAAAACCACCACCATAAATACCAATACCGTTTGACCAAATAATTAAGATACAACATCTGTGCTTGAAAATCTTTGATCTGGAATGTACTTAATCCCACAACAAACCATAGAGTAGAACAGCTGCAACAATGGTAACTGGAAGTGACACCAGAATAAGTTTCTTGTGTTTTTGCCAGAAGCTTGGATGCACAATGTCTTCCTTTCTCCGTCGCTCTCGACGTTTCTTGCCTTTCGTTAAACGTTCGTATTCCTCCAGGTCTCTCTGCATGGCGTATAAAATGACGACACTGAATTAAGTCTAAGATACGAATGTGCACAAACCTTCGGTAACCAAGTATCTCTTCCTTGTCAGGGAAGTACAGCTTGTCAAAGGTAAGGTCATTTTCACTTTGTTTAATGATAGGTGTCTGAATGCCATGTCAGAGGACTTTGATCATGGTTGCTTGTCTTTACAATTCTCTACTATCCTGATGTTCCTGCCCGTCTAACTTTGATATCAAGCTGAGAAACATCCTGTGTTGGCCTTGACTTCTTCAACATTGTAGTGACCATTGAACCTTTGTACATTTTTAATGTAACTCGAGAGTCTAGCATGTGAAATGATGAAACATGAAATTTGTTGACCTTGCGTTGTAACTGCTCACCTGATAAGTAATCAGTTGGAATCACATGCAAGGCAATGAAGGACTATCTTCTAACTCACCTGCTGCCTCGCCTTATCCTGCTCTTCTTTCTGAAGTTTCTCCTCTTCTTTCTTCTTCTCTTGTTTGGCTATTGCTTGCTTGCAAGAAGCATCACACTCGACCTTGACTTGACCTCCCTTCACATCTTTGCAAGGAAAATCCTGATCCAAAACAACATACTCAAGCTGTAACATTGTCATTGTATTTTACCCTTTAAATCAAATTAATTCACCTCCATTCTGTTCTGTGCAAAATTGAGATTATGATGAAACATGCTTTCTAAACACGAGATAATGTGTCACATTTCAACTAATGTTTTTATTTCAGATGCACCCTGAATGGCATGTTCCCCCTACTCACAAAACAAGTGATCTTGACATGGAATGGTTTTCTCCAGACGGTGATCAGGTAAGCCACAATAAAGTAACGTGATCTCACCTTCTTCCTTCTTTTACATAGACATCTGACGGCTACTTTGTGAGAACATTCTTCAGGTGTGGAGCAATCTCCTTGATGACAGGTTTTACTGCATAGATGAGAGCATGATAGAAGCTTGGTACAAGCACCTTGACAGGATGCCAGTCTAGCCTTTTCATCATTACCAGCAGACGTCCATTTGCTGCGAAATACAATGACGGTACCATAAAGGATAACATTCACTCATCTACAGATGTAACTTGATTTTGATACACTGAAACAACATTCAATAGAATGCATTGACATTGACCATCGTGATGTTCCAAAAATTCCTTGAAATATTTCCAAATCCCCACTGCAACATTGAATTATAATATTTGCGTTGTATTAACAACCATGAATACATAAATTGATCAATGCTCACATCAGTGGGTAGAGTAATCACTTAGTCAAATATGGTCAGGTAATATCTATATTCATAGTGACGCTGACAGGTTGTAATGCTCACTGTTACTTTGAGCCTTCAACAGCCGATGTTAAATCTCCCGATAATTTTTGTATATGCACGCTGTGTCAAAGAAATCTGGGGAAATGGACCATGCACTGAACTTTATGTACGTAGCCTATGTTGCAGCCAACATTGCTTCATGGTAGGGGCTTCACAATGTTGCAATTTATGAGGCTATGGTAAGAAATATTGCACCTGTTACTTAAAAGAGTCCGCATTTGTTGCAAGTGGCTGTATTTGAATCAGTGGACACACATATATCTTGTCTTTGTGGAAGTCAAATTTTTGGCCAATTATAACAATGTTAGCAAGTGGTTACGGCATGGCTTAAATCAATAACTGCTTACCAGCATTCAATGTGTAACAGCATCATGGTACAATGACATCGTTGTCGAACACTCTGCTTACATGGTGGACACGGTTCTGGATGGCATGGTTTGGTACACGTATGAGGGCAGCCTATAGGTCTTGGCTTACTGCAACCCTCATCACACTGTTGACATTGAGTACCAAACTAAACGGAAAACCACATCAAATGCTTAGAGAGTAAGCCAGGTAGACTTGAACAGACAAAAATGGTCAAAATGTGGAAGGCATTCAAGTAAAGTAAACTGTAAATCTACAGAAACTTTATTTTTATGACCACCTGCTGCCTATCATCAGTTGTTCATTGAAATGAATGCTCTAGCCACATAAATGCCCATGATGATGTTGAATGGACTGTGAAATGATTCTACTGCTCACATATACCTTGGTTTCATCCTCGGCTCCAGTAACGATGTGACATTCCAACGCACAATAATGATTTCCACAAGCTAACAATCGTCCACACTTCTTCTTACATGAAAATGGACGAGCAAAGGTACACGGTAGATCTTGTACCTATCAGGACAAAAATCCAGACCGATGACACCCAGATGTCAGGAGGTACATGGACAGAGAAAACAGGTATGTAACTCTGAATACAATTGCGGCGTCTTTAAAGTTCTTCAATTTACAAAACCACCTCAAATTATGAACTAAAAATACTGAAGAGCTCTGTAAATTCCTCTTTATTTTATGCTGATTTCAGAGGGTTCTGTGAACTGGAAACTTACTGACATGTTGCATAAACGGTATGCATCAGAGAGCCACACAAACCTGCTGTACATTATGTCACTGTTGACCTTCAGTCTATTGATATTTCATTGATATAAGCTTGGCCCGCTCGCCAAGCAAGCTAACATTGAGAAAATCCATTCATTTTACCTCATGTTTTCCCAAACACTCAGTGGGTATCGGTACTTGACATGGTGGGCATGGTTTATCCATGACAGTCAGGTGAGATTTAGGCAGAGGTTCCCATGGTGCCGTCCTTGCACCCTACAACAGGTGTTTGGTATCACAACAAAGGAAAGAAAACTATCAATATCCTGTCAAAGCAACATGAAATAGCAACTATCAAAATGATGAAAGAATCGAACTCACTTGCTGTTGGAAGGACAACAATGCTGATTCATTTCAAATACAATAAAAAAATAAATGAAAGTGAGAGTGTTACTAGGACAACCAGACACTTTCCTGCCTCCTCCAAGGCACTGATGTGACATGTCACTCCATCAATGAAACTGATGAACAAACCTACCTTGTTCTCAATTTGTTTGACGAGTACTGCACTATGACACTGCCATGGGCAACGATGATTGCAGTGAGGTAAGGATTTACCACAAATCTGTTGACATGGTGGACAGCGCTGAAAATGACATCGATGACGGTCACGGACAGCATGGTGACAATCAGGGGGGATTCTGAAGAATTAATTGGACGATATAGAGTCATGATGGTATTGTGGAATGGACAAAGAGTCGTAATATATTGGAGACTGAACAAAGACTAAAAACAGTGCAGGTAATTTCAGGGTAGGGATATGTTTCCAAAATATGCATTTGAAGGTAATGATCAAAGTGAGAAAGGATTCGAAATGAAAATATGCAATTTAAAAAGATCGCACTGCACAAGTGAACAAACAAACAGATGTAATAAAATGAAGTTTATCTAACCAAACTGGAAATTAAATTACAGTTCAGCGCAGAACTTACTTGCAGGGTTTGTTACATTTTGGCGGTTTAGTTACTTTCTCTCGACCACATGGTACACTAATGGATGTTGAGCCACAGAAACATTTGATGTAATGCGTCTCTTGGCATGGGTAACATAGACCTGATAGATCATGAATGGAGAACAAAACTGTGAAATAAAAAGACTCAATACAACCCCAGGTAGTGCGACAAACCTCATCAGTATAACGGCTCATGGTGGCAACGACAGCACATGATTGCCCAAGGCAAAATTTGTATTGGGGACCTCAAGAGGGCAATGCACGAACAATGTACCTGCTTGTTGGAATGGTTCATTCAATAGTTACTACAGTGTCGGCTGTGTGGATGTTGCTGGAAATTAAACAAATAGTGACAAGTGAGAATGCCTCTGTACGATTTCCAGTGTGCCTTCACCAGGTGTAACTCATTGAAAAAAGTTGACTAAACTCCTCGACTGTACTGGTTTATTTAAAGTGGTCTGCATGTCTAACTTGACAGTAAGAACACAGTGGACAAATGTTGAGTTTAGGATTCTGTCTATTTCAATTCCAATTCTCAACCACCTTCGTTAGCAATATATTATACCTGGATGACACTGAGAAGGACACTTATGGTTTCGGCATGGAAGTTGTCGACCACATGGCTGTTCACAAGGAGGACATGATCCATCACAACACTGACAAGGAAAATTGCAAACATTCAATGCTGAGATACACAATCTTTGTGAACTTGTATCTGATCAAATTATTGATCAGAATGTCAACACTATTTTCCTTTTGTACCTTCTGGTAGTCCACTCACCTTTCGTTTACACTGATGCCGCTTACAATCCCTCATTTTCTGACATTTTAAATCACAGAGATACTCCTTGTGACATTGTACGGACTTCTCTCGCTGACCACAACGGCATTTCTTTACACTGAATTGACGACACTATGGTAGAAGAATGAGTTATCTCAAATTTAGGGTGATCAATTCATGGGAAGCTTGCAGTAACACCAAATAGCAAGCAGTCTCATTTGGAATTGTATGGTTCTAAAGAGCTAGCACATTCTATGTTACGAACAACCTGCTCTGCTTGTCTTGTGCTGTAACTTTACAAGACAAAGTCAAAATACATTCAGATGACGCCTCTTTATGTCAAATAACCTTTGGGACTAGGTATATTAATTCCACTTGACAAAATACAATAGTACAAATTACAAGACAAGAGGTTCACACAGTCAGCCAGCAGGTCCAGTGACCAACATTTTTTTGTACTTACTATTTCACAGGGACCTGTATGACATCGTCTTGTACATTTATGAAGTCCACATTGTAGAAGCTTGTCACATGTATCACCACAGGTGGGGATAGTCTCAGTACATGGCAGCTCAAAACCTGATCCCAAAATAGCAAACTCTGAGAATTAATATTCGTATCAATTTATTGGTTCTAGACTTTTGACTTTTGTGATTTTGTAATTCAGAATTATGCAGTAGTGAGGACGCTACAAGAAAGCAGTTTGTGGATTTAGAAGAACTGTTACTAGAGGTACTAGGTAAATAGTCGAGTGATCTGAGATACAGGTACGACCCAATGATTGTAAGTTACTGTGATTTTACCATACACAGTTCCATTTGAAAACCTAACAATTAGTCTGAAATGTTTGTTGAACATGTAGAAGTAATGGTCTATCTTTCGAGACCATAGGTGTTCAAATGAAGGATTCTATGACGTACTTGTTTTACCACATGGACACTGTCTCTTTCCAGCATTAGGACAATCTCCACATGGTCCAGAGTGACACACCTGCTGACAGGTGTGATATCCACAGGATAATTGACGGCCGCAGATGCTGTCACATTGCCACTGTGGCGATGCACATTGCCTTGTAGTCTTCATTTTACCACATAAACAAGATTGCTTGCTGTTCCTGGGACATGGATCACATGCACCTGTTGTACAATGATGGCAATTCCGATGGTTTTACATTTTATTGGAAAAGCAACACTACGTAGTTTTACTTTGCTGAAATTCTCAACGTCGTTAAAGCTACCGAGAAGTTGAGCACAAAGCCAACATTAGACCAGTCATCTTTGATATCACTTTTGATTGTTTTTGACAAGCAAATAGGAAGAAATTCATAAAAAAGACTCAGCTTATCTAAGGAAAAGGTGCTGGTGTTTCAAATGAAATAAGTCCTCTTAAGCATAGATAACTCCATTACTTTGTCATTCAGTAACATCTGTAATTTCCCATGTGCTTGAAAATGTTACACCTGTGATTACCAGCATGGCATGGTTGCAGACACTGATGTTGTCCACATGATAATATCTTGCTACAGGGCTGACCACATGACCAGGCCTTGCTGCTACATCGTCGTTGTTGAGGGGTTTGACGTCCACAGTGACATGGGGAGCGAACTGTCTTGGGACACGGTGGACATGGACCTGATGAAGAAGAAATAACACCTCAGCAATAATGTTGTAAATATTTATTTATGTTATGTTTTTGTCTGATATTAAAAACCTAGTCTTGAGTTATCAGGAATATCCATAATATAGCAAGATTCTCAAGAATCTATCTATGGAGGTAAGGAAATGAAAAAAAGCAACCCTTGATAATTTTTTAAAATAAATTATATATGAAAAATCCTGATTTACATGTTGGCTTGGTTGAAGTTTGATCATGTTACTGAGAGGTAAGATTGGGACATATTTGCTAGCTGACCTGGATGGCACAGCAAGAGGCATTTATGGCCACACTGTGGTTGAAGAGGCTTCGCACACATCTCTCCACATGAATGTGGACTAAGCCAAGGATGAAATGGAGGGTCAATGACCTTGCCACAGTAACAGGTGTAACGTTTAGGAATAGCTGAAGATGGACTCTCATAGCGACACTTGGGGCTGCAAAGATGAAATAAAAGTAAGGCTATATTACACCAACAGTCAGCAATGCTTTCAGGAACAAAGCACGCATTCGAGTCCGTGTTGAGCCATGCAGATAGGACAGACTCACACACGTGTTGAAGTGACTTTGCTCATGCTTCATTTGGGCCTACCCAGTTGGAATATTAAATTAGCTCATTGTCAGTTTCTTGTGGCCAGGCAAGAATTGATCGAACAACAGACAGCCTTTCAAGATCAATTTAGACTTTCCTTTTTAAGTATCAACACAATTTTTAAATGAACTCTATCAAAGACCAACTGATTGTCTGAGTTGACCATTAGCTGTATAAGCCACGCTAAGTTGACCATTGGCTGTATAAGCCACGCTGAGTTGGCCATTGGCTGTATAAGCCACGCTGAGTTGACCATTGGCTGTATAAGCCACGCTGAGTTGACCATTGGCTGTATAAGCCACGCTGAGTTGACCATTGGCTGTATAAGCCACGCTGAGTTGACCATTGGCTGTATAAGCCACGCTGAGTTGACAGGGCCACAAGTCTGAGCCGAGTCTTGAGCATAATGTTTCCTTACCATGACCACATAGAGCTGTTAGTCACTGCAGCATCATCCTCTAACATCATATTGTTCTGAAGGGCGCCCTCTTTTGCCCATTTCTGGACACAAGACAGATGAAGGATACAAAAGCACTTGCAGCAACTCCATATCTGCAACAGAGAAATCAAAGATGCATGAACTGCTATTACTTATGTGACTTGATTCAAATTTAGTCTTTGTTCACTCACATCCATACACGAGCCTAATTCTTGTAAATCCAATGATGAGTATGATTTCTATTTCTTATTCAGGAAAAATTATTTATCAAGTTTGGCAATGCATTGAGAAGCAATCAGGATTACCCATTTGTGAATTCTTTCAACATTCCATCTCAATCTTTATATGTTTGCAAAAAGTTACAATATTTCTTTAAAAGTCAGGTACTTACAGCATCCAACCGTTTGATTTTACCAATACAGACTAGACACACATTGGCTCCTGAACGACAAGCATCCACCAAATACTGCATAGTTCTATCTAACTCACTGGTAGAGCCATCTATCAAGACGACAAAATCATACCATACTGGTTAGAATTAAGGAAGTAGAAATGCAGAATTACAATAAAAGATACGACAAACAATTGATATCTGAACCTATGGAATCTGTCACAAAAGATAAACATGAATGCTACATTCAAATCAAGCATGTCATCCATATGACCAAGTTGTCTGATTTCCTGATATTCCTTGACTATCGGAAAATGCCAAATATTTAGAAATAGGTCACCGAAGCATTACTTTGTCCGTTTTATGTAACACGCGAGCCCCATGGGGAGTACAGACAGTATAATGTAAAACGTCTGCTTTATGTGGAATGGGTCAGGGCATATGACCTCCGCTGTTTTCCATGCATATGCACTTAGGGAAATGTTTGGAGAAATGTTTGAAAATGTCGCGCTTCCCTGAAGCCACATGCAGTGTCAGATTTATGGATAATTGAAGGGCACCTTTGTGAGATTCGGAGAAGATATACCAATGTAAATTTGAAGTGACAAAAGAAAGACTTTCACATCTTGTGAGAAATCCACGTGCAGATGCACAGAAAAATAAATGTGACAGAATGTTCGTAAGCACTTGTAACATTTTACCAAATTTTGCCCAATACGAATGTGGCTTTTGACCTTGTTCAAGATGTCAGGAAGATGCATTCTTTGAAGTCACTGCATACATGTCTCTCCAGTTAATTTTTCATACAGATACATGGATGTCCGTGTAAAGAGGCCAAATGCGCCAATGCAGGCAATTTCCTGAATTGACTGTAGCAAACTAATCCACTT